GCCAATGTGGCTGCGTAAGTGGGTGATGAAGTCTGCCTCGTCGGTCCTTTGTTCGTGTTTGTTCGTGCCGAAGAACTCTCCTGGTAGATGGATCGGCTCCCCGTATACCATCTCTGCAGGTGATACTGCGATGTCTTCTTTGAAGGCTGCCTTGATGCCCATGAGGATTACTGGCAGGACTTCGGTCCATGCCTCTGTCTCGTGGCATCTGATGGCTGCTTTTAGCTGGCGGTGGAACCTCTCCACCATCCCGTTGGATTGTGGGTGGTATGCTGTTGTCCTCCAGTGCTTGGCTCCGGTTATTTGTATCAGGCGTCGGAACATGTCGGATTCGAATTGGCGTCCTTGGTCGGTGGTGACTCTCTCCGGCATCCCGTATCGAGCCATCCATTGTGAGAAAAGTTGTTTTGCGATGGTCTCTGCCGTGATATCCTCCACTGGAATTGCCTCGGGCCAGCGTGTGAATCTGTCCACGATGGTCAGACAGTATCTGTATCCCTTTGATGTTGGCAAAGGTCCCACAAGGTCCAGGTGGATGTGTTGGAACCTTCGTGTTGGTTGAAGGAATGTCCCGGTGGCGGGACGGTTGTGCCTGTTGATCTCGGCACGTTGGCATTGGAGGCATGCCCTTGTCCATTGTCGGCAGTCCTTGTTGACTCCTGGCCATACGAATCGTTCCGCGACCAGCCTTGTGGTTGTTTTGATTCCGGGGTGTGTTAAACCGTGCAGGCTATGGAAAACCTGCTTGCGGTATGGCGCTGGGACGAACGGTCTCTGTATTCCCTTTTTGGTGTCGCAGTACAGCATCGTTTTTGTTCCTGGAATGTTAATTTGCGTTAATTTTAGTCCGGACGTGCTGTCCTTTTGTATTGTGGTGAGCTCTTCATCCTCGCTCTGTGCTCGTGCCAACTCCTCGCAATCTACTGCTGTCGCTATACTGTCTACTCGGGATAAGGCGTCGACCACCACGTTGTCGGCGCCCTTAATATGCCGAATATCTGTTGTAAATTGGCTGATAAATTCGAGGTGTCGAGCTTGCCTTGGTAAATTTTTCAAAGGATTCTGCATCATCGCGTGCACCAGGTTTGTGGTCGGTGTACACGATAAAGTGCCTTCCTTCCATGAGGTGTTGTGAGTGCTTTATTGCTGCGTATATTGCCATATTTCTGTTGTGTTTTGGACAAATTTTTGCTGAAAAACGCTGAAGAAGCGGCTGCGCTTGTCCTTCCACTATCTGGTGTATCACTGCTCCCATGGCGGTGTTCGAGGCATCCGTCGTCATGATTTGCTGGGCCTCAGGTTGTGGATGGGCTAGAAGCGTCGCTTGGGCAAGGCTCTTCTTACAGTGTTCGAAAGCGGCTTCCAGTTCTGGCGTCCATGCAACCGGTGTCTTTCTTTTCTTTTGTTTCCCGGCTAGTACGTCGTTCAGTATCGCTTGCTCCTTCGCTGCGCCTGGAACGAATCGGCGATAGAAGTTAATTGTGCCGAGGAATCATCGGAGTTGCTTCACGGTCTCTGGTTTCGGGAATTGTCGTATCGTTTCTACTTTCTTTGGAAATGGTCGCGTTCCATCTTTTGAGACCAGGTATCCCAGGAATTTCACCTCTGGAACTCCGAAGATGCACTTGGCTGGGTTCAGCCGTATCCCATATTGCTGTAGACGTCTGAATATTTCCTTCAGATGGCGTTCGTTTTCCTCTTTGTTGGCGGAAGCTATCAGTATATCGTCGATGTAAGCGTAGCAGAAGTCAAGCCCGTTTAGTACCTCGTTGATGAACCGTTGAAATGTTTACGCTGCGTTCCTTAGGCCGAACGGCACGTAGATGTATTCGTATAAGCCGAAAGATGTGATTATGGCTGTCTTCGGTATATCCTCTGGGTTAACTGGTATCTGGTTGTATGCTCTGACCAGATCTATCGTTAAAAAGATGGTTTTTTCTTGTAGTGACTGTGCAAAGTCCTCGATGTGTGGTACTGGGTACCTGTCCGGCTTGGATCGCCTGTTTACAGGGCGGTAATATCCGCATGCTCTCCATTGGTCTGCTTTCTTAGGGACCATATGCAGGGGTGCTGCCCATGGGCTCTTTGAAGGCCGTATAATACCTTTTCGTTGCAGTAAGTCAAACTCTATTTTCGCTGCTTTCAATTTGTCCGGCGCCAGGCGTCTCGATTGGCAGGCCTCCGGCGGCCCTGGCGTGGTGTTTATATAATGCATAGTATTGTGCGTGCATTTTGATGTTCCCATCTGCCGCGTTACCTCGGGGAATTCCTTCAGGATGCGATGGTAGGATGATTCCTCGTTGATCGCCTTCACTGAGGTGGTATTCTGTTCTCTGGTGCGTCCTTTCGCACACAGGCCTGTTTGGCCGTCGACCAGGCATCCTCTTCTGACGTCGGGTAATAAGTGGTAGTATGCCAGAAAATCAGAGCCTATGATCGGTGTCGTGACGTCCGCGATGATGAATCTCCACGGGAAATCTCGTCGTAGTCCGAAATCGGGCTGGAGGTTTGTATTTCCGTAGGTTGCTATTGTGGACTCGTCGGCTGTGTAGAGTTCGCATTTCTCCTTTTGCATTTCCTTGCCTTGCTGGTGCCGGGTAGACGCTTACGTCTGACCCGGTATCTATTAAGTACCGTATTTTCGTCTTTCTGTCTGTCAGAAAGAGGCGGCACGGTCGTGGGCTATCGTTGTTGTCCGCCATCAACAACTGCCCTCCATTTTTTCCGGCTTGGCTGATTGAACCGCTTTGTAGGTGCACGGTTCCTCGCATTTCCGTGCTTTATCTTTAAAGGTTCGGTGATAGAAACAATGTTCCATTGTAAATCACTGGGTGTGACCTCGGCTGCGGCTGCGGCTGCGGCTTCGGTCCCTGCCGCGGGATCGGTCTCTTCTCCATTGGTTTCTTTTCTTGGAGAACTGCGTTGTCAGAGCTGCTACTTGCTTTGTTAGCGCCTGGATCTGCGTTTCTAGCGTTGTTTTCTCTGCGCCTGCTGGGGCTACTGCCGCGACGATTGCACGGTCGTTGACCTCGTGTATGCGGTCGGCCTGCTCTGCGACGTCTTCGTCTTCTAGACGGTCTCCTTGACGTGTTGCTAGGATGACCTGAATTTGGGCTGGTAATCTCCCCAGTCACAGTGTCCGAAGTAGGCTGTCTCGTACGACGGTGCCTGCCAGGCCTCGCAGGTGGCGTAGGAATTGTGATGAGTTTCTGTCGCCGAGCTCCTCGTGCTCCAGTAGCTGTCGCGTTCTCTGCTCCTGGGACGCTGACAATCGTTGTATGAGCGCCCGTTTCAGCGTGCCGTACTTATTCTCTGCTGGTGGAGATGTGACGACGTCTTTTATTTCCTTGGCGAATCTCGTGTCTATCTGCGATAGTGCGTAGGCATACCGCGTTGAATCCTGCGTTATTCCGCATATAACAAACTGGCTTTCCAACTGCGCGAACCACAGCTCCAGTTCCTCTGGCCAGAATGGTGGCATTCTCAGTCCTACCCGGTTTATATGGAGCTCTTCCTCGGCTTGTTGGGAGTTATCCCCATCTGAAGCTTTTGTGTCGCTATCTCGTTCTCCGTTTGCGTAGTCCTGCGTCGGGGTCACCAGTTGTAGCGTTAGGGCTACTTTTGTTCCGCTCGCTATTGTTCGCTCGCTTCAGGACGGTAGGATACGCAGTGGCGAGGTACCGCAAATGATGAGAAGTGAAAGTCTGGTAGACACAGTACATATTCTTAGATTAACGTATGTACAGCTTATATACAGGTTTTATGTACAGTGATTGGACGTGGCCCTTAAAATAAGGACCGTTGGTGTAGTGTATCTATGAGGCCCTGAAAAGGGCCGATCGTACGGGTCTACCGCGGTGGTCGCTCACGTAATGGAGGGCTGTGTCTTCGTCCGGTGGAGTGGCTGTTGTCCCCACTGATTCAGGCGCTTCCAGGCCGGCGGTGTTCCGGGCGGCGTACAGGACTCGCTAGGGTTGAGGTCCTCGTCCTCAGTCTGTGTAGCCTGAGTATCCGCTGGTCTCGAGATACACGCCTGTGTTCCTCTCTCGACGGTGGGCGTCTCCCACTCACTATCCGTTTGTGCCTCGGCGTCGCTGATAGTAGGCTGCACCTGAAGACCTCGGTGCACTCGTGACGGTGGCACGGTCTGCGTGCCCTGCGAGTGGAGGTCCCTCGGTGATGCGGGCAGCGGCGACGATAATGGCGGTACGATGTACCGCGGCGATGCGGCGGCGCAGGCGGATATCCCACGTGGTAAGATGTTCTTTCGGCGGACGGGTGAGCGGCCACGGTGGCAAATCGAGTCGTATCAGCCTCCACGTTTTCGTCAGGCATTCCTGGGGCTGCGCTGGGTTGACAGGCGGCAGCGACGGGCGTGACGTTAGTGGCTTGGTCCTGACGTGCTTTCGCAGCGTGGTTGCTACCAAAAAGTATCTCACTCTCGATACCTCCTTTTAAAGGGAGCGTACGAGCCGTGAAAATGCTGGGGATCCCTTTCTTGTGCGGCCTTATATTCCGTCCTGGCAAAATATTAAATGCGAGAAAGCTCAGCCGCCTAGCGGTGTGAGCTTGTTGTTATCTCGGTGTCATCCTGGGAACACGTGCTTTAGCGCGCGCGGCCGCTTGCCGTGCCGCTGGCGCTCCTGCCTGGCGGGACGCGTGGAACGGGTTGCCGTTCCGTAGGTGCGTGCCTATACGCGCGCGGTGTGGCGGTTGAGCCGCCGTCTCTCGGGGCGCTCACAGCCGCCATAGTATAGAACATTATTATGAACATACTTTGACCACCCGATTCCGAAATTTCAGTAATGTTGAAATGGGAGTGCCATAACGTTGCAAATAACATTGCGCTAAGGTTTTTCTATCATTCCTGTAATGTTTTTGAGGTAAAAATTTAAACGTACTATCAATTTTATTACAATATTATATTAAGATTACCGTAATATTAATTCTAACATTTATTTAAAATTCTTATTGATGTTTTATTTCTATTACAGGCAACATGTTTTTAATAAATATGCAATAGTAATAAAATATCTCAATATTTATTGTCTAATTAATATTTAGATTGCTTTTATAGACCAGGCTTGGACAACTTTGAGCTCCAGAACCACGACACTTCTTTTCTATCCACGGAAAGTAGGGGAGTGTCGTAGCTCCAGAGCTCGAAGTTGCCCAGGCCTGTTATATACTAATCTGCATTGGGAAATAATTCACTAATTATTATTAAAAAAATTTTATTTATATAAAAATAATATATATCATATATTACAGTTTTCAGTTTATCACAATAATATCTTTGGTAAAGATCACTGATCTTAGCGAAAGGTTTTGGGATAAAACTCATCTTTCAAATAAAAAAATCAGATTTCTGTCTCAAATCCAGGAAAAAAAGCAAGATTTTAAGGCAAGATCAGATGTGGTCTCACATCTTCGTCGTTGATCCTTGAATAAAAACTAAACGTGATACTGAGAAAAAATGTCAAACCAAATAATTTTATCAAAATCTTTCTTTTTTATTTGAAATGTGTCCCCTAGCTCGAATGAGGGTGTTAGTGCCTTCGACCTTATCCTTTTAAATCATATAGCACAAATCACTATTTCTAATGTATAAAAACTTTCTTTTTACTATCGTTTAGACCTATGTTTAGACCTATGTATTTTTTTTTATTCTAGAAACTTCCTAAAACGGATTATTAAACCACATACAGGTCTTTTAATCCTTAAACCATTTACTTCCTCTTAATCAACCCCTTACAGAAAAACAAGTTAAACAAGGACTGTATATGCGGGATGCAGACTGAGTCGAGATCAAACCTAAGACCTTTTTGTTACTATAATTAGTAAAATAATCACTCGCGCGGAGCAACGCAAGTAAGATAATATATTTATCACTTCCTGAAAAATAAAAGTAGAATTAAATTAGTGAAAAAGTTACTTATAAATTATAACGCGGCAAACTATAATGATTTTATTTTATGGAAAGTATATACCGAAATACATTACATTATCTTTTTAATGTTTTTTTATTTCTTTACGGACGTTTGCAAATCTGAACCACTCCATTAAGTGTTCAAAATCTTTTTCTGTATTCCGAGGGAATATTGCTCTAAAAGCTTCTGGAATAAGAAAAATTCAATACAGTTTATTGTTAGATGAAAGAAATAAATAATGTTAATTTAACGGCAATTATAGAACATATTAAACGACATATATTATAGATATAAGTTTGTAAGATTAAGAGTCAGAGTAACCATTTTTGGTTTTGGACGTATTGGGAGCTCCTCCTCAAGATTCTATTTGATCGTTTTATACATGAAACATACAGTTAAATACATTATAGAGATTAATACAAATACATTTTGATTTTTGAAGGACATACCATATTTGAAAACTTTACCGACAAAATTCTACCTTCTTTTAGAAAGTTTACATATATCGTATTGGTTGCATAGAATTACAAATGTTTTTACATAATAAAAATAGGTGTAAATTAATTAGAGCATTTGCTCAATATATCACAAAAACGATTTAAAAATTTCAAAATAAAGATCTCAAGCTGTCAGTGTAAATATTTATCTGTTACAAAAATTGTACAACTTTTATATATTATCAGTATGTTTGCTCCGTTAAAGAAAATTGTAAAAAAATATTACTGTACCATTTTCATTAAAAAAATATATGAAAAGTTTGCAAGAAGATTTTTATATATAAATACTTAATTTTTCTGCTAAATATGGTAAAACAAAGCAACACACATTTATATATAAAAGATCTATATGCATAAAGGACTTGAACAATGTAGTGTGAATGCGTTAGTACTCATTTGATATGACGTTTGGATGATTTTGTCTGTATGTTACTGACACTTTTAGAGTTTTTCATCTATTTTTTCATCTAATAAATTGTCATAAACAAAAAATATATGCATATGTTACGCCACAATCAAAATAACTGTGAACATAGTAGATACAGATAATGCGCAATTACTATCTTTGCTATAGGCACTATATTGAAAATAATACCAAAAAATCGGTAAAAATTACAAGTCCTGGTGATCTTTTTGTCGATTCTAAATTGCAAATATTATATTTACTACTCTTGAAGAGAAAGGGAGAAAGAGGGAGAGAGAGAGGGAGGAAGAGGAAATATCTCTTACAGTCTTTTCTCTTAATTTTTAAATTTTCAAAGTCTGATTTTATTGTGTAAATTTATAACTACTACGATTATGTAACTACTAACCGGAAATGTTATTTGTAAATGTTTATAAAATTAATTATAATTGTAATAAGTAGCTTTACTTACAACTTGCATGAAAGCTTCTTGATCAGTTTTTAGCATATCTTCAAATTGTCAATGGAAGATAAGGGGACATATTGTCCAATCTTTGTATATTGTACAATACTTTCCTTAGAATATTGCTCAGCCTCGCGGCCCGAGTACATCAAGAATATGTTTGATCCTTAATACTTTGGTATATTTCTTTTTTTCTGCAAATATCTCTCTTATATAGGTCGAACAATAGATCTTGAATCACCAGCTACCTATTTACAGCACATATAGATAATTGAGTTCTTATCATTAATATGCAAGTTTTAGAATATAATAATTACTTACCCATATAAAAATGTTGTATACAATTAAAAATGCTCGACAGCACAAGCACAAGCGTACGTATATGTGACACACTCACGCATCATACGTATATGTAAGATAATGCGACTACAGTCTCCAGAACTATTACTGCTTCCGATTGGCTGTCGCGACAAGCGTGCGTCTGCTCATGATCTCGACGCGCTCAAACAGCTGAAAATAATCGGCAGTAAATTGCAAGAAAATAGCAAATAATTCCACTATATAGCTTGTATACCGATACCCAAAGAACGTTATTTGTAGTTAATTGTAGGTTATAGATCATCATATCAGCTACTATTCATAGCACGTATGGTTAATTGAGTTCTTATTATTAATATACACCCAGATAGCCAAGTCTGTCGAAAACAGATTTTGTAAAATCTTGCTACAAATGTTGTTGACAAGAAAGATACAAATTTAATACAGAATTTGATTTAACAAATAATGTCGACAAAATGCTAGCAAATATGTAACAAAATCTGCTGACATAATTAGATAGCAAATTGCTAACAAAATACGGGCAAATGTGGCCATGTAACCAGACAGCAAATTGGCAGCAAACCGAGCAAAATTTGCGTTGAGCACTCTAACAATAAATTGGCGGCAAAAATCGAGCAAAATCTGTGTAGCGCTGCCTGACAACACTTTGGCGGCAATATACAGGCAAATATACTTATATAACCAAACAGCAAATTGGCGGCAAAAACCGAGTAATATTTGCGTCGAGCACTCTGACGATAAATTGGCGACAAATACCGAGCAAGATCTGTGCAGCGCTATCTGATGACACATTAGCGACAAAATACGCGCAAGGTCTGCGCAGCGCTGTCTAATGATAAATTGGTGCAAAAATCGAGCAAGGTCTGCACAGTGCTGCCTAACGACAAATTGGTGGCAAAAATCGAGCAAGCTTTGTGTAGTGTTGTCTGATGACAAATTGGCGGTAAAAACCGAGCAAGACCTATCACAATTTAACGATATAATGATATTAATTATATATTTTTAATTATATATTTTTCATTCTTATATATATTTAATTTAATTTAATGCGTTTTTAACGAGGAACAGTGTATAATAAGCATAAAAGTATTCGAAAATACTTTATATTCAGTAATCTTTTTATTGTTCTATATATATTGTTATATATACCTATATATATTGCTAGAACAATAAAAAGATTACTGAATATAAAGTATTTTCGAATACTTTTATGCTCATTATACACTGTTCCTCGTTAAACGCATTAAATTAAATGAACATTAAACAGATTAAATAATGAGCACGCGCGGTCATATAGACTAGCTATAATAACATGGCTATTACACAAAATCCGGTTTAATAACTATATATACTGTATATTATCCAATCCAAAATTTTTGCAGCCCCACCGCCACTTTCAGTTTTTGTTTTCTCAGCGCCAGTAGTTCTTTAGCTCTTCCTAGTCAGCTGTTTTAAAAATTATATTCGTATATCTCATTCAAAATTTTATTACTCTTTTTAAACTGAATTTGTTTCTTAAGATAATTTTTTAAAAATTATATATTTGCGCTGATTATGACGTATGTAGACTATATATAACACTTACATTAAATTAAGAAGTAGTCTACCACGTAAGGCAGTTGGCTCACGATCCAGAGGTCCCGAGGTCCCGAGTTTGAATCCCACCAAGGTAATAAGAGTGTGTTTTTCAAATACGAGAAAATATTTATAATTATAGACTGCATCTTAAGAAACAAATTTAGTTAAAAAATAGTAATAAAATTTCGAAATAAATATAATTCTTTTTTTTTTTTTTTTGACTGTGTTGCGCATTCCTTGCACGGTTTTTGAGGACAATTTGTCGTCGGACAGCGCTACGCAAAACTTGCTCGGTTTTTGTCGATTATTTGTCGTCGGACAGCGCTACGCAAAGCTTGCTCTGTTTTTGTCGATTATTTGTCGTCAGACAGCGCTACGCAAAGCTTGCTTGGTGTTTGTCGACAATTTGTTGATAGACAACGCTAGACAAAGCTTGCTCGGTATTTGCCGACAATTTGTTGGCAGACAATGCTACACAAAGCTTGCTCGGTTTTTGCTGCCAATTTGTTGTCTGGTTATGTACACAGGCTTTGCTAGCAAAACACGAGCTTAAAGATGAAACAGATGGCACCAGATTTGACACCAATCTTTGAACGATTTTGATGCCATCTTGGCGACAATTTGCTATCAAATTGCTTATACTGGGCAACTTTTAGAATATAATAGTTACTTACTTATATATAAAGATACTGTAAATAAAGAGCACTGCTCGATCCACACACGTGTATACGCACTCACGCATCGTACGTAGGATAATGTACGCATCATGGCCGTCGCGATCAGCGTTGCGCACAATATAAAACAATAACATTCTAACAACAGAAAATTAATATATTACCAACGTTATTTCCAAGTCCAAATTACAAGAAATTTTGAACTGTTGCATTGATCTCAAATAAATGTCAGAGTAACATTTAAAAAATACTTTCTGTAACGTTTTTAAAATATTTTAACAACATTCAAAAAAATCATATTACGAAATAATATTTTTCAAATATGTGTATAATATTATTAAAAAACGTTTAAAAAATACACATAAAGTCAATATTTCTAAACGTTAATTTAATGTTCCTTGCTTACTGGGTAGTACCTTGACGTAGAACCACGTCTTTCCGGGAGGGTGAGGGGTAATTTCGGGTGCACGACTGCAATGTTTTTTTTACAAGTTTTCTTGTAATGTTTTCTTGCAACGTTTTCTTTTCCTCGAAAGGTATTAAAGGAAAATATACTTTATTATAGTGTTTTTGAAAGCTCTTGATGTGAGCTAAATGTTCCTACAATTTATTTTGGTGTTTTTTTTATAATCAATTTTCTTGTTTTTCTTGCAACGTTTTCTTGCAACGTTTTCCGCGAACTACTCATTTGTTAATAAATCAAATTTTAAAGAATTATATACTATATGAAACAGGGGTAGAATTTTCCGGAAATGGCGGTGGTGGGGTTAATTTTTCGATACCGATTTTTTTTAAACCGGTTGCGTAGTTTTCGATGCCAATGTGTTTCTTATGTTCTAAAACGTCGAAATATTGCATTAAAAAAATGCAAAATTGCTAATAATAAAGGGGTTACCGATTTCTGTTAAAAACAAACAGCCAAACTTACCAAAATTTCTATAACTCAAGAACTGATTAACTAAATTTTAAATAATTATATATGAAATAGGGGTAGAAAAAACTGAAGAATATAATAGAATTAATAAAAAATTGTTTTGTTTACTTTACCATTGTCCCAAAAAAATTATTAAAAACTAAAAAAATAAACGGGCACAGTAACAACTGTGCCGCAAACAACGTAGAAGTACATCAACTGTCACTATTTCATGTTAAAGTATTCAGCGAAGAAAAGTAGATGTAGGGCTACGTTAACAGTCTTTCGCTAAATAATATAGTGACAGTTGACGCAGCCCTACGTCTACTTTCCTTCGCTGAATACTTTAACATGAAATAGTGACAGTTGACGTAGTTCTACATTGTTTGCGGCACAGTTGTTACTGTGCCCGTTTATTTTTTACTTAATTAAGTTTCTGACTCGTGAATGATTATAATTTCGCATATAATACTACAAGGTCCTATAGAAAACGACAAAATTCTTAAGTTTTTTACGAATCGTGAATCCATGGAAATCTACATGTATTCGCTTTTTTAGATTTTTATAAGATACTACAATTTTCCATGGAAAGGTTGAAGGTTTGGTTGAAGGTCTGTTAATTTCCATGTAAAATTGTAGTATCTTATAAACATCTAAAAAAAGCAAATTTATGTAGATTTTCATGAGTTTACGAGTTGTAAAAGGCTTAAGGATTTTGTCGTTTTCTGTAGAACCTTGTAGTATTATGCAAAATTACAACCATTCACAAATCAGAAATTTATATAGGTAAAAAATTGTACATTTATGTAATTTTCTATTGGATTTTACAACAGACAATACGAAAATAAAAACATAAGTATTTTGACTTTTGCGAATTAAGAAGTTATTAATAATAGATGAATTTTGGAACATTTGTGTAAAAACTTGTAACATTTAAATAAAAATTACAAATTTTAATTATCCATAATTGTAATAAATTTTTTAGCTGTACAAACAAATCGGTATTTGTTAGTATTTGTACGCAGTTGTAGTATTTTATGAGAAACTGAAAACTGAATTAGATTCTAAGTTGCATAGTTTTACGATACGTAAATTGTGCAGATAGATTTCTATAGTCATTTATAAATAATTGTAGTATCCTACAAGTAAGCAGATGTTTTAATTTTTTAAGATTTTGTTTTTTCTTAAATTTTTAAAATTTGTAGATCTTTGTACTATTTTTTATAAAACTGTAATTTTTCATAAAATACTACTTGCAATAATTTCTTGATTTGAGAACATTGTAATTTGTGGTACTATTTCGTAGATATTTCTACAAAAAAATAACTATTTCTACAAAAAATTAAGTATTTCAACAAAAATGTACAAATTTCTATTTTTAGTCAAATTTTGTAGTTATTCATAGAATTTTTTTCCGCCAGGGGAGGATGGCCCGATATTGGCCAAAACGTCTGTAAATTACTTACTTGATTAAAGAACCTAACACGAATATCTTGTTACGGCTTGATGTCCTCTTTTACACAATTGTTTAATTATTAGAGCCTTTTAAGAATATTATTACGCGGGCGAAATAATGCGTTTTTTCAATTTTATCAGATATAATTTCGGTTTTTTTGTATGCTCCTTAATGAAAGATTGTATTAAACAGTTCAAACTTTGCATGAAAACGCAGCTGCGCATTCGGTTTATTAGAACATGTTTGAGCAACAAAATTATCCCTCCTTATTTAAAAGCGAATTTTAACATGATTCATCTATTTCAACAGAGTCATCGAGATAGATTAAATAGAATACGGTTGTTGTATGTGGAACGTGTCCTTCGCATAGAACTCAGCGACTTTTACAAACATTATTATTGCCTTGTTAACAGGATTCACGACAAAACAAAATTTCTGTCAACCTTTCTCCCTGGTAATGTTTACAATTCATTTATGGTACAGCAAGAGATTTTGGGCAGGCGTTATTAAGAGGCCGAACTCGAAATAATTAACGAAAAAATCAATAGGTTAATAAAAAAACAAAATTACAGTAACAGACTAAATATTAAACCAATTAAATACTTTGTCGCAATTCCGGAAGGCAATAGTCAAAAAACCTTTTTTTCTACTACACCACTCCCGGTTTCGCGGGCATTAGTGACCCACAAAATTGAAATTAGCCCAGACAATTTTAAACTCGAAAGACCGATTACTTTACATGATAAATGGTTTGTGAATTTCACTTGCACACCGATTTCGGAGGAGGTGAGGTTACTGTTACAACTGGAAGAATGGTTCGGCCTACCTCTAACTAAAAATAACAAAAATAAAATTGTCGTGAAATTTGTTAAAAATATTGAAAGAAATATAAATAGAAAGATAGAAGGCGCCTTTGTGCTGTAAATCTCGCACAATCGATGATTATGTGGCCTCCCATGTCTCCCTCCTACCCACCGCCAAGAGGTCCCCCACCGGAACGGTAATGGAGGGGTCCGCCTCCTCCTCCGCCGCCTGTTTAGCCAATCCGTCGGCCAACTCGTTACCCAGAATTCTCACGTGCGCAGGAATCCATGCAAGTACAACCCAGTAAGCAAAAAATCATTATTACAATGTTATTGCAACGATATTTTAGAACTTGTAATGTTGTTAAATATGTAGTTCTTATAATGTTGTATAGAACATCATTATGAACATACTTTGACCACGATTCCGAAATTTCAATAATGTTGAAATGGGAGTGCCATAACGTTGCAAATAACATTGCGCTAAGGTTTTTCTATCATTTCTGCAATGTTGTTGAGATAAAAATTTAAACGTACTATCAACTTTATTACAATATTATATTAAAATTACCGTAATATTAATTCTAACATTTATTTAAATTTCTTATTGATGTTTTATTTCTATTACAGGCAACATGTTTTCAATAAATATGCAATAGTAATAAAATATCTCAATATTTATTGTCTAATTAACATTTAGATTGCTTTTTTATAGACCAGGCTTGGACAACTTTGAGCTCCAGAACCACGACACTTCTTTTCTATCCACGGAAAGTAGGGGAGTGTCGTGGCTCCGGAGCTCGAAGTTGTCCAGGCCTGTTATATACTAATCTGCATTGGGGAATAATTCACTAATTATTATAAAAAAGTTTTATTTATATAAAAATAATATATACCATATATTACAGTTTTCAGTTTATCACAATAATATCTTTGGTGAAGATCACTGATCCTAGCGGAAGGTTTTGGGATAAAACTCATCTTTTAAATAAAAAAAATTTGTTGGGGATCGTCCGAGAGTAAGTAAACAGAAGCACGTCTGCCGAGCGCGTCTGCTTATTTCCGAACTTATCTGCCGCTGTATGGCCCTGGGGCGAGTTTGTTACAGGTTTTCTGCAAGCGCAAAATTGCAATTTTAGTTGGAGATAGAAGGAAGCAGCAGAGGAATCGCAGGGAAG